GCACATGCGAGTGATGCGTACCTTACCCGTAGCTTAAGAACGACCATCACGCCATTAAGCGCAGGCAGCTACTGCGGGGTGGTCGCTGCCACACGCGTCTGTTCCTGAGCAGAACGCGTCGTTAATTGCGTCAATGATGTCACCATTCACTGTGTTCCTGTCGGGCATCGGCCCGCCCCTCCACAATCTGCGATCGATCGGAGCTTACCGTATGCAGTCACTGCGGACTATTCACGAAGAAGCAGCAAATCTCATCGAGACCTTCCCAGCCGAGGAAGCATGGCCGGGAACAAGAAGAAAAAGAAGCCTGCTGCCAATCCAGCCAGAGGATTTGCCACTACCTCAATCACAAGTAAGCCTCGGATAGAGAATCAAGAAAATGTATCTTTGAATGCATCGACCTCTAGTTCCAGGACACCCACAGGAAATGCCACCCCTGCTGAACCAGAGGGTGCTCAAAAAGCGACGAGTGCACGTGGCGCTCCAGAGTCGAGGGAACTCAAAGACCTTACACCGGAAGAGCTTGAAGCGCAACTCGAAAAGTCGGAGCTCCAGCAGCTTGTCGAACAGCATGCGTCTAAAGTCCGCAAAGATGCTAGTCGTCAGTACTTGCGATTGGAGACCGAAAAGCGTCTCCTGCGCGGACAAGCAGAATACCTGAGTACGAGATCATGGTTTCCTCAAGCTATCACCTCCCGACTCGAAGGAATGCTGAATGACAATGACTTCTATTCTGGCTCCAACAATGTATCTCGAGTCTCGAAGCCAGCGCTCACCGAAGAAGCCTTACTGGCTAACCTGTGGACGTTACAATTAATTTTGCAGGACATGTCATTGCCACATTCCACCATCAGCAGTGCATTCAATCATGTTCTTGCCTGCTATCACAATCAACGGATCGATGAGAATACCGGTCTAGCGTGGGGCCTGACTGAGATTTTTGACTGGCTGGCCTTGATGGGCAGCGATGAGACCTTCGACGACTATGAAGGCCAAAAATCAGTTGTCGATCAAGACACCAGTGAGAGCGAGAATCGTAGGTCTATTCTCCATGGGACAACCCGCACCTGCTGCTAACCAAGATTTTCAGTCATTACGCAACATATCCAGAAGATGAAGGGCCAGAAGAAAACGACTAGCTTTGGGAACAAAGGACGAGGAAAATCAACTACAAATGGTTCATCTACAGCAGCGTCAGGAAAGCCAGATGTAACTTTCAGTGATTCTGAAAGCGATTCTGACCCCGATGAGATGCTCTCCAGATACGTAAAATACAAGCTAAGACTTTTCGATCACGATCCCGATAAGTTCGGCGATCTACAACCTAGCGGCAGAAGAAACAATCCTTCCATCCACACCGCAGGACAAACTAGGTTACTTCAACGACTTAACAAAATGGAGAGTGATCCACTGTTTGATAAACAGTCTGCAGACTTTTCGTGGAGAGAGAAACGTCTTGAGGCCATTCAAAACCAAGCCGAGCAGAGGAAGCTCGGTATCAGCGGAGAGCCCAGTCGTGCCCGGAACACTGCAAAGAACGAAGGGTCCTCTGCAGCTGAAGAAGCGAATAAAGAAGCAGAGGCTATGGCGGCTGAAATTCTCCAAGCAACCAACGATGAGGATGAGGATGTCGCATTGTTCGAGAGCATGTTTGACACCCCAGCCGATACGAAAGGTGCAGCCCTGCAATTGGCTCACTCCTCAAACTCTTCGTCGGTGACCTTGAGGACGTTTGCAAAGATTGAAGGTTATAGCCCCCGCAGAATACTTGAAGAAACTTGCAAAGCAAAGGACCCAAATTGTCGGGTAGCACTCGACATGATATCGGCCACTACTTATTCTTGTCGACATTCGGTCCTCATCCAATGGTCTAAAGATCAAGAGATAAAGAGTGCACCATTTCTTCCTGATCTGCATGTAAAAAGCACCAGAAAAGCTATGTTGATCGAGATGATTCACATTGCTGCTTCCGGAGTTGAGCAGAGTGAAGGCTTTGCTTGCACTGCAGCTTTCTTCATCATCTTTGCCGGTTCGCCCAAAGAGGAAAAGGCGGCGCTCCGCCTGCCGCCCTCATTCAGGGATCTCTATCAGGAATTTGCTGTAGCAAAGCAGGATAACAACGATGCAGAGGACCGACGAGTCATTCGAGACATACGTGAATTCATACAAACTCACAAAATCAATGCTGACGAGCAAGACGTGGTGTTAAGATCAGCTTTCAAGAACAGGGGCAAACAGAGCAGTGGTATCACTACGCCGGACTCTTCTGTGGAGACTCTGAATCCAAATCTCCCCAGGGCAGATCTGCGCGACCTGTGGGACAAGAAAACGCAGACTCCGACTTATCAATTAATGCTCGGAGTTCGCATGGATCTTCCCATGTATCGCTTCCGCACCCAAGCTCTCGAAGTAGTTCGCCAAAATCAAGTGACAATCCTCTGCGGAGAAACTGGCTGCGGCAAATCCACTCAAATGCCAGCTTTCATCCTTGAGGATCAGTTGTCTCAAGGTATTCCCTGTCGGATTTATTGCACGGAACCGAGGAGAATCTCGGCAGTGTCACTGGCACAACGAGTCAGTGAAGAACTCGGGGAAGAAACGCACACAATCGGAACCAGCAGATCACTGGTCGGGTATGCAATCAGGCTCGAATCACAAGCAGTTGCTTCAACCAGATTGATCTATGCTACTGTTGGCATCGTCCTCAGGATGCTAGAGTCGCAGGATGGTCTCCAAGATTTGACACATTTGGTCATCGACGAAGTCCACGAACGAAGCATTGACACCGACTTCCTCTTGATAGTACTGAAGTCTCTCTTAGTTAAACGACCAGGTCTGAAAGTTGTACTTATGAGCGCCACTGTCGATGCCACTAGATTTTCGCAGTATCTGGGCAATGCACCAATTATTACAGTTCCGGGTAGGACGTTTCCTGTCCGAGACCTATATCTAGAGGATGCCATTGAGATGACAGGGTACAAACTTGAGGATAACCGAACTGGCCGCTCGGAGGACCTTGATGCCGAGGACATCGACTCTGAGCAGATCTCAGGTTCACTGGATACTCAAGCCCTTAACAATTATAGCAAGTCGACTGTAAAGACGCTTAGTGGTTTTGATGAGTACAGAATCGATTACGGCCTCATCGTCAAGCTGCTTGAACTTCTAGCCAAAGAGCCCAGCCTTCATCAGTTCAATAAGGCTGTTCTGGTTTTCTTACCTGGTATCGCGGAAATTAGACAACTTGCTGACATGCTTTCTGGACATCCGATGTTTTCGAATGGCTGGCTCTTGTATCCTTTACATTCGACCTTCTCAAATGAGGAGCAACAAGCTGCATTCAAGATACCTCCAGCCGGCATGCGGAAGATTGTACTCGCAACCAACATTGCGGAGACCGGTATCACCATTCCTGATGTGACGTGTGTCATCGATACTGGCAAGCATAAAGAGATGCGGTTCGACGAGAAGCGCCAGTTATCAAGACTGATTCAATCCTTTATATCTCGAGCTAACGCCAAGCAAAGGCGAGGTCGAGCAGGTCGTGTGCAAGAAGGCATTTGCTTTCATCTGTTCACGAAGCAACGACATGACAAGATGATGACCGATCAACAGCTCCCGGAAATGCTTCGCCTATCACTCCAGGATCTTGTCATCAGGGTCAAAATATGCAAGCTAGGGGAAATTGAGGCTGCTCTGTCACGGGCTCTGGACCCGCCATCAGTCAAGAACATACGCAGGGCCATTGATGCACTGGTTGAGGTCGGGGCTCTAACATCAGGCGAGGAGCTGACTGCGATGGGACAGCAGATTGCCAGATTGCCCCTTGATGCTCAGTTAGGGAAGTTGATACTGCTCGGGAACCAGTTCGGATGCCTGGACTTTGCACTCACAACAGCAGCCATCGCTTCCTCCAAATCGCCGTTCCTTGCACCGATGAATGCAAAGCGACAAGCTGACACAGTACGCCTCGGGTTCAAGCGTGGTGATTCGGATCTTCTCACCGCCTTCCATGCATATCAGACCTGGCGCCGGGTCTGCACCTCGCCAGGCATGTCCGAATTTGAATATTGCAAGAAGAACTTTCTTTCTCAGCAAAATCTCTCGAACATTGAGGAGCTGAAAGGCCAACTCCTTTCCTCTTTAGCGGATGCTGGCCTTATCTCGCTGTCTCAAGATGACCGCGTGGCGCTATCGCGCATGCGCCGCACCAAACACAAGCGTGATTTTGTTCCGGTACCAACAGAAGCCATCCAGAACGAAGGCAACCACAGCCTTGTCGGCTCTGTGGTGGCATGGTCATTCTACCCGAAGGTCCTCGTCCGTGAAGGCAGAGGCTGGCGGTCTGTTGCTAACAACCAATCGCTGTCGTTGCACCCTACAAGCGTCAATGCACTTTCCGTATCACCGGGCTTTGACAAGGTCAGGTATCTAAGTTTCTACAGTATCATGCAGTCATCCTCACGCTTCACCAACGCTCAAGAAACCACGCCCGTGGAGGCCATGGCCCTTGTGTTGCTGGCCGGCGACGCCAAGTTTGACTTCTACTCCGGTGTCATCCTAATAGATGGGAACAGGCTGCGATTCAAAGTGCGTACATGGCGAGAGCTGGCGATCATCAAGGCTTTGCGAACCAAGATCAAGGGCATCGTTGCTAAATCATGGAAACGGCCTGGCAGGGAGATGGGGCACAGCGAGCGAGAGTGGTTCGAGATCTTGTTGGAGATGTTCAGAAATTGGGATGAGATACAGAAGGAAAAACAATGACCTTGTGCATATTTATACCTGATACCCAACCCTATAGTCCTAGACTCTTATAGATGTCCCTTGCGGCTACCATGTTTTGTTGAGCCCATGCCCGAATCTTAGGAGATATATCGGGAAAAATAAGATTGAGGTGAATAGCGCAAATGGTAAAAAGACGACCTCCTCTGTCATTATAACCTTAGATTCGTCAAGGTGGTAATGGCAGCCAAAAAAGGACAAAAGAAAATGACAAGTGGATACACCCGGAATTGAACCGGGAACCCCGCCCAAACTGCGTTTCGATATTGCTATCGAGTTGCTAAGGGCGAATCATAGCCATTAGACCATGTACCCATTTGTTGTAGAATACGTGTTTCTAATAAAATATATACACGAAACATCAGTCTCGAATCTACGCGATACGTGCCCGCCGAGTGTCGCGACAATCTCACCCAGCAATAGCGGTTGCTGCACAGTATGCGCGTCGAGATTTGCATGTTTACGTTTGAAAAAAGCTACAGCTGCTCGATTTTATAACGACTGCATATTGCATATATTGGTCTGGGAAGCCGCCACAGCTGTAGAGCCCCTCAGTAAGTCGCCAGGCATATCACGGCCACCGCACCACAACAAAGCATAACATGGGTCTAAACAGCTTGAGAAGCTGGGAAGGCTTTTAGTAAAAATATATTCATGCCAATAAAAATTGGGCACGGTCTGGCACGAACAACCATAAGGCTACGCGGCGTACTTGGAGCATTTTGTGCATTCCCCGACTTTCACGTTGACCGACTTCCTCGCGAGTGTGGCCCTACGGCTACCGTCCGTCATGGGCACCCAAGCAACCGGGGCGCACTGATCATAAGATCCTTGAATATCCTGCTGTTTTCTTTAATCGATGTCAAGCTCTCCGATTGTAGCGCAGCGTCATTTACTGGTTGGCTGGCATGATTGTTCAATACATTTTCTAGTCTACGTATGTGGTCATGATCCATTCACGGCCAGATTCTGCATAGCATCGTTGACGTTCTTGCCAACACTGACCTCTTGTGCACCCTTGCCCTCCACATGACCGTCCGGCTGCGCCTTGACAGCACCAGGATGTCTTGAACCCTTGTCTTTCTTCTCCTTTTTCTTCTTCTCGGGCGGTGGAGGGTAGGCCTTCTTCTCGATCTCTTGCCACTCCTTCGATTCCTGGAAGGCGGCTTGAATCGGGACTAGAAGATCATTAAGTGCTTTAGTTACTGCGTTCTTGAGAAGTTGGGGGGTGAGCTAGGTAGGATTAGTGGCCATTCATACGCGACTGTCGCAGGGAAGACTCACCACGTCATTTTCGTAATCTTTGTGCATGTCCTTGATGTCGGTGTAGATGAGAGGCTCTCCTTCACCCTCGCGCCTCTCAATAACAAACTTGGGCTCTCCATGCTTCAGCACGCCGGCCGGAAGCAGAACGTACTCGACGAAGCTCAGGACACCATTGTCCTCGACCACCTTAGGCACCGCATAGGCTTTCTTCAGCTTCTTCTTCACCACCTCCGGAGCGTCGAGGACGTCGATCTTACTGTCCGGATCACTGGCGCTCATCTTCCCACCTGCCAACCCAGGTACCATACGGTTCATCAGATGTGCGCGCTCCTTGTAGCCGATCTTTGGTAATATGTCCTTGGCAAGAGCGAAAATCTTCCGCTGGTCCACACCACCGAACTGTGCATCCACCTTCAAGTACTCTTCGTCTAGCGCCTGCATAACGGGGTAGATGAGCGAACTCAGAGTCGCATTGTCCACTTGTTTGACCACCTCTGCTCCGGCCTTTTTAGCGTCGTGTTGCGTGACTACACTCTCTAGCCTGAAGCGATCCATGGTGTATTCCTTGGACAATTGGTAGCTGCTGCCGAGGACGAATTCCAATTTCGAGATGTCGACCTTGACTGCCTTCAGCAGTTCTGTGATGACGAAGCGATAGTAGATGGCCCTGAACTCAACGAGTTCGATGGGCGCCTTGAGATTGTCCAGGAAACCATGCACATCTGCCAGCAGAATCTTGACCTTACAACCCGCAGCAAGGAACTTAGCTATCTGCAGACATGGGACGAAGTAGCCGCAGTGAGGACGACCAGTGGTGGCTGTGCCCCAATAGATTGACAGAGGACGATCCTGCTTCTCAAGTACTTCATGGATGATTTCGGGGTTGAGAACTTCCTGAAGAGAGTGAACGATGAGATCGTACTTTTCCTTGGGCGTGGAGGCGCTGGTAAGAAGCGCGGCCGAATCGGTGGACGCCATTGCTGCTGCAGTGTTGTTCCACACTGCTCGAATTTGTGAGGGGGGATAGATCCAAGTGCTCGCTCTGGTCAGGTATATCCTTTTATGTCTTCGCTGTACAGGTGACTCACGTGCCTGTATACAAGATATTGGACGAGGGAGTCATGGTGAATGCGGGCAGGTCCTTATCGATAAAGAAGTTGCCTCCGGTCTTGGCAGCGCCGGTGGTCCAACATGAAGCTCCAACTGGCGACAATCCCATGTTTCGCATTACAATTGCATGACAATGCTGGTCCTCACGAGCGGATGAGGGCATAAGGTCAAAGCTATGGAGGAACGGGAGGTCCACGACCTTGTCACGAATACTGCGGAAGATGAGCTCGTCGAGTCCAATCATGCCGACACGTCAGACGCAAGCTTGACTCCCGGTAAAGACACTCCGGAGCAGACCGCCCAGAATGCACCACAGATCAGCACAGCCATTCAACAGTGGATAGACAAGGCCTTGAATTTTGTCTCTCATGCCAGCAACGAGACCCTTGGGGCTTGTTTCGTCGGGCTAGGCGCATCGACCTATCTCATTCTCGGAAGGGTCGGACTGGTCTTGATCGGAGTGGTCGGAGGTGTCGCATTACATGCTACATGGGAAGGTCAACTCCTTGGTCATGGTCCTGGTTCGGATGGCGCTGAGAAAGAGGCGAAGAAGCGGAGGGAGCTGGGTCTGGAAGTCGTTCAAAGAGTATGGCAATGGAGAGAAAGGCAGCAGCAGATCGGCGCTCAGAACTCAGATGAGGATGGCGACACGAAAGAAGATGTGGAAGTGAAGCTGTTCCGGGGCAAACCTTTGGACTTTTCAGATTTCAGACCGGAGACTGCAGAAGCGCTGGACACCTTTACCAACGCTGTCATTCGCGACTATGTCAAGTGGTGGTATTCGCCCGTCCTCCCTGGCGAGGACAATTTCCCTAGTGCCTGCCGGCAAACCCTTACAGCATTCCTTCTGTCTCTATCCTCACACATCTCTCGCAAACGACCCACCGAGATGTTCGTCAACTTTGTTATAAATTCCTCCTCGATCGTGATAGCTTTCTTCGCCGAGCTATCCGCGGCGCTGAATGCTTCGCCAAATTCAGATGCAGCTACCGCAATTGACACGTATATCCAAATGAAGCCAGATTCAAGTCTGGCGCGGATGCTCGATGCTGATGCACAAGAAAAGAAGCTCGGAATAGTGGGAGAAGATATCTTACAAAATTACCTGGATCCGAAGGCCTACAACTTTCCGCCTGTACATAGCTTCTTGCACCAAATCCTCTCCAAATTGATCCTTAGCATGACTCTGGACTCTTGCTCGAAACCAGAATGGATCAATGGTTGGATTGTGTACTTACTCGAAGAAGGTGAACCCGAGATCATGCAGGCTATAGATGCTGGTGTCGAAAATGCAGAAGAAAGCCAGACCAAACACCAAGGCACCGGTGCTATCGTGGAAACCTCAGAGCCACTAAAGACGCCCGACCACAAACGGCATAGAAGTCGTGCTGAGGAAGCAATGGAAGAAGCACTACAAGAGGCGCAGCGATTGACCCAAATGATTGCAGAGGCAGAAGCAGAAAAGGCACAGACGGAACCAAATTCTGCAGTCACCAGCAGCGATATGTCTGAGGACATCACTGCGCAAGGCATTCAGACCCCAACGTCTTCTCAGAGTGAATCGGACAGAGCACACTCAACGCAAAAGCCTGCGTCAGAATCTCGCCCTTCGGTCACAATTCCAGAGCAGCAGGGACGACCCAGCCCCGATCTTGCACAACCGAATAGGCCTTTCACGAATTTTGATCAGATATTGCCTCCTGGTAACCCACCGAGTGCAAGTGACGAGAAACCCGTCCTCACTCTCGTCAATGCGAAGCTGTCAATATTTGATGACTCGACACCTGGCGAGAAGACTACGATGAAGTCAAAACCGACAGTCGAATATCTCATTCAGATAGAGCCCGCTGATTCTCGCTTCTCTGGCTGGATGATCGCACGAAAGTTCGCCGATTTTGAAGTATTGCATGAGGTGCTACGACGTATCTCCGTCATCACCGGCGTCCGCTTTACCGAAGCTCACGCCGCCCTGCCGAATTGGAAGACCCTCACTAAGCCAGCTTTCAGGCTTGAACTAGAGCGGTATCTTACTGACGCGGTAACTTTCCAACAGCTTGCGGAAAGCGAAGGAATGAAGAGGTTTCTTGAAAAAGACCAAGGTCTTGCCAAATCACCAGGCTCAGGGAAAGGTCTTGGATGGCCTGACCCCATGCAGATGGGAAAGGGTATGATGGACGTTTTAACAAAAGCACCTCGAGAGGTGACTAGTGGAGGGAAAGCTTTCTTTGGCGGCATGACAAGCGTGCTAGGTGGCGGTAAGAGGTCTTCCACAGTCACCTCGCCTGCCTCGAATCATGTCAAATCGCCCAGCTCTTTATCACTCAATATAAGCAGCCCTCAGTTTGACCGCTCAAGCTCCGACTTGACGCGACGGCCGTCCAATGGGCTCATAAACTCTGACTCTCAAGAATCGCTGTCTAGGAAGGGAAGCTTGTCTCAACAATCAATACAAGAAGCAAAGTCTCGGCCAAGCTTGTCATCACGAACATCGTTCGCTGGAAGACCTAGCACTGAGGTCAACAATGCCCGCTCGTCCACCAGCAGCCTCGCCAGGCCAGATAGCGCAACCCAGGTCCTGGACACCCTCAACCTGCCACCGCCACCATCGGCAATTGACGAGTTTGAGATAACCGGTGGCTTCGTACCAGCTGCAGCACCAGATGAAAGTGTTGACAAGACGGCTAAAGATCTAGCCAAGAATCTCGACACCAGTGTCGCCGACCTCGCAAAATCCACCGCCACAACACCCACCAAGCCCGCCTCGCCCTCCAAACCACAAACCCCAATGACCGAGCAAGAAACAATTGTGACCGTTGACCTCATGTTCGCCGTCATCTCCGAATTATACACCCTTAGCTCAGCCTGGACCTTCCGCCGCACCCTCCTCCAAGCGGCGCGCACCTTCCTGCTCCGGCCAGGCAACCCCCAACTCGAAGCTA